CCAATATATAAGCCTATAACTGCAGGTGAGTGTGTGTCATTGAGATGAATCGTTTTCATCAAGTGAAGATGATCCTGACATCTCGAGCATTAAGGTGTGTGTGGATCGACTTACACTCACACACATACAAACACAAGTCATACGACATGTCTCACCTCTCTGCTGTAGGATTATGCAGTGCAACACACACACATACAAACACACACACGCACACACACACACACACACACTGCACACACACTATCATCATCTTTCCAATATTTTGTTCTGGGCAGTGTGCCCATTTCCAATATGCTAAGCACAAGGGATAAGAGTGTGATCACTGCAGACGATCCGGCTCTATATGCCAAGTCCTGTCACTCACTGCCATGCCCACCGCTTTGTTCTGCCCCACCACGTCCTTCTGATGTCAGTATTATTCAACGAGGCTAGGTTTTGAACTGAGACAGCAAAGTGTAGATCAAAGTAACAGATCTGGGACAGAATATATTTGGGAATAGCTTCAAATATTTGGACTACTCTAACTAGGCCTGAATTATCGTGCCAGACATCTTTAAAGCCAAAAGCTTGAGCCCAACTTATTTGCCAAAACACACACAAATGGACAAAAGTAAGGAAAGAAAAAGCACTTATTTAAGGACTAAACTAGATCTGGTGTAGCAAGAAAGTGAAATAGGTTAAATGTCCTTCAATGAGACATTATTTGTAGACCTCAGTGTAATGACCATTGATCTCAAAGCTTTTAAGTACAACCATTAGACTGAATAATACACAGCGTGACATTTGCCTCACAATCTGCTGTCAATTTTGGCAGTAGAAACAGAACAGAAGCCCAGAGCAGCAGCATATTAACATTCTTATTTTCTTCGGTTTCCAGTTGGCCTTCGCTTTATCCTTGGGTAAATATAACGCACAAAAAAACAGAACAAAATCATGTGACACCTTCTCTTCACTTTTGAACGTCCCTTTCAGAATGAACTGTATAGCGGCTGAAAGAGAATGATTTGCAGTCACTTGAAGAACAACTTTTTGCCATCAGCACATCTTCTTGTCCGATTTGAACGTATTGATCCTTCAGTAAAACTGCAGAAATATTACACTTCCAGTATTAATGACGTGTGCATGCTTTTGTGTGTGTGGGGGATATCACACCTTTCTGCTGTTTCCACCTATTTCCCCACGGGCGGATATTGATGCAGTGTGTAGTTAGTGTGAGGTTTGCTGTGTGTGGGGACACGTCATGACATTCAAGTGTAATCGTTATGGCAGGAAATGTGTTTTAATGATGAACAATCACACATAATGATCATCCAGGCCTGTGATTACTGTTATATTACTACCCTTTGCTTTTCTTGTATCATGTAATTACATTATTGATACTTCATATGCTTCACTTATCCGTCTTTTTCATGTCAGGATAATTTTTCTAAAATGGCCCACTATGACAATTGCTTCCTTTGATAACATAGAAGCGTATGAATATAAATAGTTGGATTCATTGAATGTAAATGTAGACACAACCCTTTAGTTTGGGGTTATAGGTTATAGCAACACTGATGTAGGGCTGACATTTTCATCAACGCTTTAAAATTGAATATAATATTTAAACATGGACTTGAACAATATCCAAATTGCAGGAGGCACAATATTTGTTATTTGCAAAAGATGATTCAAAATAGCCTTCTGAATGAACTAGTGTGGGGCTGTGTAGCTGTATCTGCCCACAAATTATTGTATACACAAATTAATACAATGCCTGAAGAATTAAATATTCATTTGTTTTGTGAGGGAAGTGCTCACAGATTTGTTGCCCGATTGTGCTCTTTATTGTTTCATGGAAGTCTTAATATCCGGACTTGAATTCTCATGAGAGATGTGAATCAGACTTGTGTCAAGTAACACTAATCCGCACCATGATTTGGATTATTCTTTGCTCCATGCTAAATCCTTACACAACGTTTTCAGGAACATTAGGGCCAGTAGTTTTTTCTTAATCCTGCTGACAAACATCTTAAAAAACGACTTCCTTGGTGAAGGTAATGTACAGCTGTGTCACCATTAAAAAGTTGACGGTCAGTCCTATTAAACAATATTGTACCTTTTTAGAGATTTGACTGCCTTTCCTTGTACTTTTGTTGCGATCCAAACTGATAAACCAATGTTATACTGTCTATCCTTGGTGTTGTAATATGCAAGGTTCATTTTCTTTGCCTGTAGCTGAAGCAAAGTGGATATCACTCAGAGTTTTGATAGGTTGTCATGGTCACTCATGAGAAACGAAGAAGAATACTGGTCATAGAAATGCTCGAGTAACCAGTAACATGGCAACAACACGTAGCCGTCTGTCGGACAGTGAGAACGAGAGGGAGCAGGTGTTGGGTTTTATCCATTAGCCACCCCTATCACCCCACACTCACACGCACACACACACACACACACACACACACACACACACACACACACACACACACACACACACACACACACACACACACACACACACACACACACACACACACACACACACACACACACACACACACACACACACACACACTCCTGCGGGGCTCTCTGAGTAACCCTGGCCGAGTTCACTTCCTCTCGATGATGTAACTTGTCCCAGAAAGAGCTCCCTATGGGTGATGTCACTCATCCCATAAAAAAAGTGATCACTCTCTTAATTTAAATAACTAGTTGGATATATTGGGAAATACGTTAAGAAGTTTGGATTAGAAGATCAATTTCACCTCATGTTTGTATGTTAAATATGAAGCGACAGACAGCAGAAAACAGCTATCCTTCGCCCCAAAGATTACAAAAATACACCTCTAAAGCTAAGTGATTAAAACATTATATGTGTACGTTTAGTCTGTCCACAAACAGAAATGTAAACACAGTATTTTGTAGTTGTATAGGTAGTTATGTAGTCTTATTTGTTTTAGCTTACACTGAGATCGCAAGGCAAACAGCAGATCAACTACACTTCAACGCGGACAGAACAACTTAATCCAAATGTATTGAGAACAATTAGCAGCTTATTAACCTCTCTAAAAACACAAATAATGGTTTAATGTCACGTTTTGATTATACAAATGAGATCCACTAACACTTTAAGCAACCTTTTGAACAATTCGAGCAAGGCTACCTGTTTCTCCTGCTTCGTATCTTTATGCTAAGCTATCGGCTCCAGGTTTGAGCTCCATACTAAACACACGAGAGTGGTACATATATTTTCATCTAACTCTCACCAAGATAAAGGGAATAAGCATATTTCTTACAATATAGACCAATTGTTTTTAAGTAGTCAGTTCAAAGTAGCATTTGTCATGTTTCTTTGTTCATGTGTTTACTGCTGCTTATACTGACCTTCTTGTCAAGACTGTGGTAGAGATTTCTTCAACAAGCCTTTTATAAAACTGTTTCTGATGCATAACACTGTGTCTTGCAGTCTTTTCTTCTGCTTGCTGGCTCCCAATAGGTTTGCATTAAGTGCCAGATCTAAGGCCTAAGTGCTGGAAAGTAAATCAGCGAGTTTGGGTTGTGAGTTTGTTTTGAGATTGTTTGGAGACGAGAGCTCCAGCTGTCAAGTCATGTTTCATCAGCTCGGCTTTGTTTGGCTTTCGTAATGCTTGTTTACTTATACTGTACAAAGACAAAGAGATAGACTGTGGGAGAGAGAGAGACACATTTCAGGAGGTCTAACAGGAGGACATTCTCGTTCTACCGGAAAACCAAATACAGTCTCTTATTTTCCTCTCAAGCTGGTTTATTATCAACCTATCTGACCCTGGTGGGGTTTCTCACTTCCTTTCGATTTCCTATCACACATGCCTCTGATTCATTAAACCTTCTCTGACTCAAATGAAACAAATAATGATAGCTATTTGAACAAAGACACTCGGCTGCAGAAAATAGCTCTATAAACAGTGCAGTACAGGCTGACAAAAGAAAATGATGGCAATCCGATTTTACCTTAGTCGAGTGTTAAGTGGAATCAAATTGGGAATAGATGGGCAACAAGCGCCACACAGATTCCTCCCAGTAGATCCTAATCCCATCAGAGTCCTTGCTGTTGTGTCCCGATGTCATAAATATAGCAGCAACATGTTTTAAATTGACTTTGGCTCCACTCAACCTGCTGATTCCTCTCTGAGCACTTAGCACTCAGGGATCAGTTTTCAAACTGTGTTTCACTTGCATGAGACAAAGGAATCACAAAACTAGCTATAGATGTATCCCAGCATGAGCTACTATTTAATTTAAAAACATTTGCTAGTGTTTTAAAACATGCTGTTTGCTTCTTCTTTTGAAATAGTGTGCTAAGGAAAACTCCCAATGATGTCCACAATAAGACCTAATCTGTGTAAAGGGGGCACAAGTGAATATGGCTTTATTTTAAGGGTCATATAAGCAAATGTAAGGTATAATGTATAGTAATACCTGTCATCCTCTGAGTTTCATCTCAATTATACGATCTGATGTTTTGTTGCTTTTGCATAAAGCTTTCCAAAAGATAATCTGTTGCTTCTTGAATATATTTCCTCCGTAATAACTCAAGAAACCTATTTATGCTAAGCCTACGCAGATGTGTAGAGTGTATCAGTACAATGTGTGACCTTGAACGAATTGGATTTATGCACAACCTATCTGTATACTAAAAGACAACAAAGTGATGTGAAAGCATAAAAACAACATCAGTGAGAAATATGATGAGTTAAAAATAGAAAACACATAAGAAATTAAAAGATTGTTTAGAAGCAAAAACATTTCCTGTTCTTCTTCAGGTAACTTATCAGGCATGTGCATCTAATAAGTTAATGTTTCAGTATGAACTGATACTATTATTATGCCAATTCATAATTTCTAACAGCACCTACAGTACATTTAATCATTATTTCCCACTGTGTAAAAAGTGATTGCATGAATTTCACTCTTGAAGTGAGGCTAATTCATCTGTTCTTCCCCCTCTTCTCTTCTCTCCTCCTTTTCTTTCTCACCAGAAGGATCTACCTCTGCCGAGGAAAAGTAGCAGGTAAGTTTGAATTTAAGCTTATTTTTCTTTACGTATCTCTGGATAGATAAATGTATTGAGATACTGTCCCTTATCTTTGAGTTTACTTGGACTTTCTGAAATGATGTGGACTTCATGGAATTATTTTCCAAAGAGAAATGATGGAAATATAGTTAATTCTCTGAAAAGACAATATCCACATATATGGATTTTTATATTTAAATACACTTAAAGGTGCGATAAAATACCATACAGGACACATTTTTGGTTTACTGCTTTTTCTACATGGTATGGTTACACACTTTCTGAGCTGAAAGACAAAGGAGGAAAACCATCTTTCAGTGCTGAATCGGTCAGCTCTGTTAAAGGAAGTGGTGGAGAAACGATGGTATTTTGCCTTCAGACTGCAGTGCAGCATGTTCCCGCTCTGCGTGAGCCCTCGTCTCTGTCGGCCCAATCTGTTGCACCAGTGAGCCGTGCGATGAACGTTCAGCAGCAGGAGAGATGTGCTCTGACCTCAACAACCTGCGGGGGCGTGAGAAGGCTGAGGTTGAGGAGGGAGAATAAAGCAGTACATGATGAGTACATGATGTGTTAGACAAATGAGTTAAGCCAACAACAAGAGAGCAGAAAGTGTATCACTGACTGTGCATACATTATGACAATTATAGTTGATCAAAGATGTCACAATAACCACATGGGTGTATGTACATTGAACGGATGAGCAGTTGCTGTAATCGCTCCTCACTTCTCATTGTGCACTGGCATTAGAGATCCTTTTTTTTAGATTCAACACTTAATGGCTTTATTTTTTGTGTAGTTTTTGGCAATGACGATCTTAAGCTCAAAACTCTACCAATTATACAACAAACTATACTTAAAGCATGATAATGAATACAGAGCTAATACAGTCCAATTCAATAGTGCGAGAGACGTAATGGTGTGAGTAAAATGCAGGAATAAGAACTATATATACATGAGACACACAATGTGACTGACAGCATTTCTACCGTGTCAAAAAGATTTCTTTAGTTGAAGCAAATGTTAGCTTTCAGGAATCGGAAATAGAAACATTTCCAATTTCCAAATTGTGCTCTCATTGACAATAAGTTATCTTTGAGCCAGTAGCGCACCCCAACATGTAGTTAATGAATCTCTTTAATCATTTTTAGAGAAGAGTAGAGTCCCTTTAGTATCAGACTTTTCCACCGCTATTGGAGTTTTTGCTCATTTTGCTCATTACATTTTTATAAATTGAGAGAAGAAGACGCTCCTTATGTCTATGAAACTTTCTTCACTATCAAAGCATTTAGTATAGTTGTCTGTACAAACGGATACATTGAAGACAGGAACTGCAAGTAGCTCAATCAGCATACTTTTAACAATCATAAAACCAATGTTTGCCAACAAAAACAGGGCTTAAAGTGGACCTATCATGCTATATTGGAAAAATATTTTGTAGAGCCATACCTATACAAAACATGTCTGTGTGTCTGTGTGTTTTTCAAAATACCAAACAGATCACCCATTGTAGCCATGCCTCATACTGCTCATACCCCTCTTTTGAAGCCCTGTTAGAGAAACGCGGATTTTGGGTCCTTAGCTTGAAAAAAGAAAGAAGAGGAGGCGGAGCTAATGCTTGATCAGAATTCTACCGGAGATAAAGTTACATTCGGTTGTGATAAAACGCCATCCTGTTTAAACCACATCGAAGATTATTTCTGAAACACTATGGAGCTCAAATGCTTTTTCTCTTGCGGGTTTATCACAAGGTGAGTTCCTTTTTGTATTTCCTGCTTTTTAAACACATGCTCTACAGTACAGGTTAGCTCTGAGTGTTAGCGAGGCTTGCTAATGTAAACAAAGACGAGATTACGTCCAAAACACGTCAGGCATTGTTTCTGATAGCAATTTTCTGTGGGTCCGCTGCCGATTTGACGTCAGATCGGCAGCAAATCTGTATCTGCTAATCGTACCCCTGTTTTTAAAAGATTTGGGTACGGAGGAGAAGAGAGAGAGTTTTATTTTCTGACGCTGCGTGAGTTCCCTGACGCACCGAGGACACATATTTATGTATAAAAGACATCACAAAGTGCATTTTGCATGATAGGTGTCCTTTAACTTGTAGTCCATTGTTTAAAAGTGTTATTTTGTAGATAAAAACATTATAATCCTGAGCAGTGAGTAGGAGGAAGAGTCATTTCTTATTTCAGTTCTCATTATGCTCTTGAATTAAATGTTTAATGGAAATTCCTTCAAAAAGTCAACAGTGACGCCAGATTTAAACAGGAAGCTTCGTAAAGCAAGATTAGCTTCCTGGAGAAAGAGAAGTCCAGTTGGCCTTTCCACAGAGACGGGACTGAATTAGAAACCTCTGGAGACACTTTCTGGGCCATTTGGAAAACAGTGTGTTCGAATGATCCTGAGAGGTTTGACTAAACTAATTAAAGTGTCTTCATTTGTGGCACAGACATGTTAAACTGTTACACCAAAGAAGAACATGGTGACATTTGAGCAGAAAAACTGAGCACAGGCTGTCTTTAAATGCAGCTGATTCTCTAAATGTAATGTATGTGAGAATGTGAGTCGCTGTCCGTGGTGCTGAAATGAAACTCACCACTCTTTCTTTTCCTTGCTCAGTGCGTTTTACTCTTTTACTCCAAAAAAATGTTTTATACAAAAGCTGAAGTGACATTTCTATGAGGCTTTTGTCTCTGGAAGTGTTTCATTTGCTACATCTTAATTACTGTTTACTTCTTGACAATATCATCTCTTGCAGTGGATTTCCTCATCTACTCTTAAAGTCAGAAAGTAGCTGGCGGCTGCCGCTAAAGGCACTTCACAACTCAGGCAGAATTTGGAAAAGTGTCTTATGTCGGCTGAAAAGGCGGTCTGAAATTGCCTTTGAACATAGAGGGGGGTGTAATTTTCCACAAAATGATTGCACTTTGCCATCATCACTTTGAGTGTGGAAGTCCTTCAAATGTTCATGAAATTGCTGTAGTCCAGACCAATACTTTTCATCCCGTTTCACTTTCGTCTTGGCCTCTTGTGTTATAGTGAGCAGAATAGGAATCACATAACTCTCTTCATAAGCTGTTAATGTGCAAGCAGCTCAGGAAGTTGTAAATGTGAAGCATGGATTTCCTTTCCTGTAGTGAGCTGACGTTTTATCTAACATTGATTGTATTACTGTGTGTAGTTGTCTGTTTAATATTCTGCATGCATGTTACTCTGCGGAGGTTATGTCTGGCAGCGTTGGCCTGAGGATGGCAGCCTAAACATGCATAGGGCATGTAATGTGTGTGTGTGTGTGTTCATGTGTTATAACTATGTACTGCCTTAGTTGGGGCGCATGCTTCTGTGTGTGCGGTCAGTAATCTGGTGTGCTCTAAGCGTGTGTGTGTGTCTCTGACTGCTGACACCGAGTGTGTTTGCTCCTTGAACCCTGACCTCCGAGCAGCAGATGTCACTGCATGACGTGATGAAGGAGACACCGGAGCTGTGGGCTCACGGTCAGCTCTCTCGGCCCCCCCTCTCTGCTGGATTTTCCTGCACACATCCTCCTGTGGGTGGAGCTGGAGTCTTACACTCTGGGCGTAATGAATGGACGTTTATAGCAGAGTGAGAATAGAGTGACCTGAAGGACAAACAGGTCACCAGATACTGAAATCCTGAGAGGTTAAATAAGCCTCGGAAGAGAGAGAGAGCTCTCACTAAAATGACACCATGTCATCCATATGATATCATGCTGCCCATCCCTGTCTGTGACCCCCCACTGTGTTTCAATGATATCATCGCCCCCCCCCCCCCCCCCTACTCCTCCCCCCCCGTCCCTCCCTCCTCTCCCATGTATATTTTATCCATCCAGACTCCCACATTAGAGACGGCATCCATTATTGAATTACTCCCCTCAGCACTACTGGGCAACTGTCACCCCACGTCAGCTTTAACATTTGGTGGATTTGTTTCAAAGGGAGGGAGGGAGGGCGTACTCACGCACACACTCACACAGAAATTAAATGTCTCTTTCAGAGCAGATCCTGATATCTAGGACAAATAGAGGATGCAAGAGTTCATCCAATGTGGAGGTTTTCATAGGAGAATGTGTGTCATAATGTGCATTTTCAAGGGTGGTGTTTTGACTTTTGTGTTGTCATTAAAACCCAGGGAAATCCCCGAACCAAACGTGAGTTGATCCATCTGACGAGACTTTCCTATATACTAGCCAGACTTTGGCCACAAGCATGCTCAGCCCTGGACGTAATTATTGAAATACACACATATATACATATTTCTCTAGCGGCTCAATTGTCCTAAAGCAGCTGGGCTCTTAGCAAAAGACAAGTCTATGCTTTTGTAGACAAAAGATCTGGACGCTGTAGAAGCTGAACGGGTGGAGACGTGTCACCCCCTGCTTTTCCTGTCTCGCTAAAATCAAAGCAGTAATATAAAGACCAACAAGCAGCAGTAATGGTATTCTACCAAAAACATAAACCAGTCATGCACTTGTTGACATGTTCCTTCAATACCTTTAACTTGGGCGCTGTCGTTTATTGTATCTATGTCTTACACCCTGGTCTGTAAAATAAAGTAGTCCCAAACAAATGTTCTATTTACCACAGTTTGAGTAACATTTGCTCCAAAGTATAATGCCCTGCTGTCTCATTTCAGCTTTTGTTTTCATTACTGGTTAAAGATGTTGGCTTTCAGTCGGAGCGAATGGCTTGTTGCGCTTGGAGCCACATACAGCCTGGCACAGTGGAAGCATTGAGAGACAGACTCAAGCTTTTCTTTATCTTTTCATGCCATTTATTGACAATAACAAAACATAGAATTGGCCAGCCTCATCCTTTAATAGCTTTCAGGCAACAATGGAGATCACAGAGGGATAAACTCTGGCATGCTCTTTTGTAGGGTAAGGTCATTGTTGACTTTCATATTGTTGTCAATAAGAAATGTAGTGAGTATCCTGTTATCAGAGCCAGCTTAAACACCCCTTTCCCCTCATTCCACCTCCC